GATGCATAAAATGTGAATTATTGATATTTTGAATATTTATAACTTTACAGTGGAAATCAGAAATTTACAATGGACCTGTCTCTGTCTCTCTGAGTCGTATGCTGATATTCTGCCAACGTGTGATTCCTCTGCTGCTGCAAGACTCAAGTTCACGTCTGTCTTTGGTTTTCTATCGAGAAAACATCGAATCCACGTTCTGTGCACCTGTGGGTGCATTGATCGAGTGAACCCTCTAATCACGTTCGATCACGTCGAAATCGGCATTGAATGTGTAATGGTCGAGTTTCGAGGTCCGTCAACTGATTCCGTCCGGTTCAACTGCACGTAAAACGACAAAATCCATTCATCTGTTTTCATGACTTAGAACTCCCTCTCCCTCTTTTCATTTTGAAACCCTAGCACCTCCAAGCTCACTAGCGCCTTCACCCCAATCGGCGCCACTGGCGGCAAGGGACAAATCGTCCGAACAAGCGTCTGTACGTCTTCTTCCTCACCTTCCTCTTCTTCTTCCTCTCCCTCCGTTTCATATGTTTTGCATTCCCGGACCTGAGATGCCCTTTCCATTCCTTCTGCCTGAAAAACCCTCTGTTCTCCTTGTTGTTCCTGCCATACTTCCACTTAGCACGGGATGCAGATGGCCAGCAGAGTTCGTCTTCCACCATCCTCTCACTTGACCGGAAAGGCATACATCCATGTCCAAATTCTTCCGACAACAGCTGATATCCTCCCTGCTTACGATGACCTTCAGCAGAAAATAATTACTAAAAAAAAAGAAAAGAAAAGAAAAATTACAACAAAATTAAGACAACCATAGTATTCTAGATTATAGACCTTGTGAAGCAAGGGAGAGAACTTATAAGCAGTGACCAAATTCACAATAGAAGTAAAATCTCAGATATGTGGAAAATGAACAAAATTGGAGAAAATGATAAAAAAACAAAATCCAAGAACGCAAGCAATGGATCCTCGGCGAATAAAGAACACATTCAGTTTTTTTTCTTTTTTTTTGAGTTTTTTTCGTAGAACAAATTCTGAATTCTCGACTGGGAGGGGGACAGAGCCAACAAACAAGTTTTGGCGAGGAATCGATTAGGTTTACTCTCTATTACACCACACCCATCAACGCAAAAGGAAAAGGGTGAAAAGTATGGGCACGTAACCCTATTTTTGGAATAATCTAAGTACAGTGGGAAAAATGATTCTGAAACCCTAAATCTCCAGTGAAGCAATCACGGATCCGGCTACATGACCGGAGAAGAATGAGACTTTTCTCACCGAAAAATCCACTCCTGAACCCAAGAATTTAGACCTGAAAATTGGGTTGGGTGGGTCGGGTTCGGGTTGATATCGGGTCGGGTTGGATTGTCAAATTCTACATCTTAATCTTACATGTTCGGGTTAGGATTGATCCATGGGTCAATTCAGGCCATCCCAAAAAATAAGTAAAAATTATATGAAAATTGTCAAAATTAAAAGAATTAATCTTAAAATTTTAAATATAAAATAAAAAACTTAAATATTTAACAATTTAAAGAATAAACAATAAAAAGTAAAGAATACATAGAAAAAATTAAAGAATGGAAACTTCTAATAATACATAAATAATCCCGATTAAACTTGAAATCGGATCAGCGGATTGACCCATGAACCAACCGAATTCAGCCGTCTTTTCGGATCGGGTCGGATCAATTTCACATTCGGTAGTTAAATATGAGACCCTTCTTTTTTCGGGTTGGATTGAGTCGGGTTCGCGGGTTGGGTCAAATTTTTGTCAGATCTAGAAAAATCCTTTTGGCACTGCAAGTAAACACAGCTGACGCCCCGTCCTCCTGTCCTATTCCTATGGTCTATGTCATCTCACATCACATCCTTTATATTTTATTTTGTGGGGTATGGACCCAATAATCAAATGCCACGTGGACAAAATTGGATAATAGGACCATGGGCCTCTCACATGAAAGACTTTGGATCAACGCGGCTTCTTGTGTTGCTTGTAATCAGTTTTTAGATTTTGCCGAGTCAAGATTGTCTAGTTTTACAATGGTGACCATCTTCTTTAAATCACACAGGGCAACGAAAGGGAGACCGAGTCATGGGCCGTGTTATCAATCGATCAACTATTAAAACATAAATATTGTTGTTAGAAGTAGTGATCCATCATCCATGAGAAGAGTACGTCGAGTGTAGCTTACTTGAGATCTGATCCTCAACACAACAATAAGAGATATTATCTAAAATTCAACAACTTTTTGAAATTTCATAGAGCCCCCTATCAGTGAGTTTTATTGTCTAAAATTCACCGTTCATTAGTTTTTTTTTTTTTTTAATTTAGTGTTAATGGTTGTTAACAGAAATTGTCTATATAAGCATTTAGGTTGTATTTGGTTGCAATGCAATTTTATTTGTACTAGTACAAATGCATGAGAGTGTAAATGAAAAGAATGTAAATTCTTATTTAACTTTGCTTTAGGTTTTATTTTATTCTGCTTCATGTCTTAGTTTACTTTATTTGAACTGCAATCAAACAAATTAAGCTAAAATTTGAAACAAAAATAGGTCAGAATTTACATTTAAATCACTTGCACTGCCATGGTTTTACATCACTACAAATTTGTTTGCATTGCAACCAAATACAGCCTTAAGTATTTTACGTGACCAAATTACCCACGAAGAGCAAATGAAGTATAAATACAAACTCCTCTAACATATTCATACAACTATCCATAACCCATTACCTTACGTGACTAACCATGACACTCTCCCACTACTAATTGTCCCCATATATAAGGAACAAATTACCAACAAGTTTCACAACTGGGCCACATGGCTCTCCACTACATGCATGGCCCAACAACTAACAGAAAAAAATACCCACTACTTAATTCTTCTAATTTAAACTATATTTGATAAGTGGGCCCACTAATGGCCCATTAGTGGGTCCGTAACATCAAGTTTATTAAATTCATAAAACAATATGTAAACAGTAAGGATAGAGTTAGTCAATTTCTTAAACCATAGAGATTGTGGCCGAAAACAAACTGACGAAAACATTCTAATCCAAAAGTGAAAAGTATAAATTTCTTGGATGATTCAAAAGAAGGAAAAGAGGAAGAAGAAGGATTTAATTAAAGTCAGCATTAAAAAGAAAGGAAAAAAAAAAAGAACGAGTCCTTGATGAGCCCTACCTACCTAACTGTTACAGGGGTGACAGTAAGGCAGATATGTATGGAATTACATTTTTATTATAAGAGAAACAAATCTTCCAATCCTCTATCTATATCAATCTGGATTGGATTGGGTAGAAAAGAAAGTGTCAAAGTGGGAGCCCGTTTAATTGGAAGTCGGGGATTCTTTTATGGTATAACACTTTAAGTCTATAACATAACTGTCTGTTTCTGTTTCAACTTCCATCCACGATCCTTCTACTATTATTCTTTATTTCTTTTCCCAGCTTCCTTTTCAATTCTTTCAAGTTTCAAGCCCAAAGGTCATTGGACTGCATTCTTGTCTACCATTTCCATTATGGAATTATGACAGCATTACTAACTCATGTTAATGTATGTGGTAGCATAATAAAATCTATGATCCAAATTCTAAGCGGCTAACCGCTGCTTAGTATTTGGCTCTCTTTCAAGGATGACCCGTCAAATGTTGGGCCGTCCTAACGATCTAATTCACTGCATGCCCTATATCAGCTATCTTGGCCCAGAACCATGATCCAGATTCATTTCATATCCACTATGGCAGGAAGCCGTACAGAGGGCAATAAACCGTCCCCCTGACAACAGGTGACAAGGTATATAAGATTTAAGGCTCAGTTTGGAAAGAGTATAAATATAAGTATGTACAATACAAATTGATACAAAATACTAGATTTTGTACTCTTTCCAAACTAAGCCTAAAAAATTCAAAGCACAAGTCATGTTAGGCGGCTACCATGTGGGGTGGTCACATTGGCAATCAGGGCGTGGAGAGCCTGTCCCATTGGGTTTAAAGTTTAAACCTACTCCTGAAACAGAGGAATGTCAATTAACCAACTGAACTTCAACTCCAGATCACCAGCCAACAAAATGCATTCTAACACCCTAGACCCTACCAGTTTGATCTGACACCACATATCTCGATATAAAACTGAGGCTCAGCATAAAAGTGGGACACACCACGAGTGAAATGTGCGATGTCAGATGTTGATAGGGTGTTGGAATGCATTTTGTAGTGAGTCGGATCACCAGAAAACACATTCGAACACCCTACCAACTTGATCTGACACTTTACATCTCGATACAAAACTGGGCCCGTCATAAAAGTGAGACCCACCATGTATGCAACGTGTGGTTGTCAGATGTTGATAGGGTGTCGGAATGCACTTTGTTGGCAGGTGATCCGGACTCCTGAACTACTGGGTTCTCAGCATCTTAGGCAGAGTTTGGTAAGGTTTCAGAAAAACTACCGGTGTTTTCTGATTCGGGGGAACAAAAAATAGTTTGATTTCTCTCTCTCTGTTTTATTGGGTTTCATGGGAATCAGATAGGAAAACAATGGAAGCTTCTACTTGTTAATTATTACATCTTACCAAACAGCTAGCTTAGTTGGCAAGGCATAGGGTGTTTGGATCTAGACGTGCGATCAAATCTCGCCATAAATATACTAAGAAAAGATTTTTATTTTTATTTTTTTCTTTTCACTTGCTATGTTCAAACACCATAAGAAATCCCATTAATTAACTCCAAACGTGAAGTTAAAATCTCAAACTTGCTCCTCTAAATTGAACTCCGAGCGTCCATTTGAGTGACAGAAGAAACAACACAAGGAAAGGCAAGATATGCATGACCCTTCAGTAGAAGTAGGCCTCGCAAAATTATAATAGAAACGGGGAGAGGAGCAATGGAGCAATCAAGAGGAATTGGGTGTGGGATGACCTACAGAATAGAGTGCATGTTGGCGTGAATGGAAACTTAATCCTCCCACCGTTAATTTTCAAACTTCAAAGTCCGCATGCCTTGCAAAATTACAAGCTCAAATCAGATTTATTGAAGGGTTCCAGTAAACATAATTAATTCAGCTACATTAAAAAGATCCAGATGTCCCTAGAGCCAAGAAATGCTGGAAAATTACAGCCTCGCTTTTAGCATCAGGGCATTCCCTTGATCACTTGGGTGATTTGATACTAAGCTTATTGGCTGACATTTTCCACAACTCCAAACTGGGGAGAAAGAGGACGAAGCCAGCTCTTTTTACCACCATGCTTTCCAAGTTTCATTTAAACCAACTGAAGCCAACGGACTTGCTCCCACTTATTCAGACAACTTGAAACTACAATTTAATAACACTGATGGAAAACCTTCGGTAGGAGCAGCTAATGATCTCACCTAGAAAACTGAAATGCTTATGAGGGGATACATTGTTCATTATGCGCCCTCATTTATAGCCTGTGCCTGTTTACGAGATTCTTCCCGCATCACCGCTTTAACATAAATTTCATAACAACAACCTGAAATGATAAAGGAAATTAATAGCAACCTTGCAGAACTTTTGTTGAAGAACAAGGGAAAAAGCAAAAGTTGTTACTATCTAACACAATGAATTTGATAACAGCGACTACTTTATCCAAATATTAACAAAATCACAACACATCATGATTACCCAAACTACGATTTTTTTATGAATAACGGAAACTGATTTATTAAATTAATAGTGTACAGATGGGAAAAGGGAGAGAAACTCTCTTAGCTCACCCAAGTACAAAAATATAGTTACAACACAGCCCAAAATAGATGGACCCTTCCCACCCCCCTAATTTGATAATACATCAGCAAAGGAATTAGCATTCCTTTTTACCCATTGCACATTGATTTCCATTCCCTGAGACAGCCATTTAACCATTCTTTTCTCATTTATATAGCACCACCCATCAATCCTCCTCTTCCTTCTGCAGCTATTCAATAACTAACTTCAGTCCCCCTCAATTACTAGCTTCTGCATATTCAGTTCTTTAGCCTTTTTAAGACCTTCCAGCACAGCCATTATTTCAGCCCTCGAAGAATCACCAACACCAATTGATCCTGCGTAAACAGCAATAATTCTTCCTTCCTCATTTCTAAATATGACCCCTATACCTGAAGGACCCAGATTTCCTTCACTACTCCCATCAAAATTCAGCTTAACAAAACCACCTGGCAGAGGGGACCATAATGGTCTAGCCACAGCCTTGCTAGGCGCTGAATCAGCAACTGCCTTCCAATTTCTCACCAAATCATCTACATGGACTCCCTCAAATATATCAAGAGACTTCACCCAATGGATCACCCTAATTGTAATGACTTCAATTAAGGCATCCCTACTTCGGCCAACTAACAAAGGTAGAGAGGCAAACTAACAATGGATCACCCTAGGTATGGTTTTTCTTCCAATTAAGAGTATACTTCAATTGGGCTTAAGCTATAGCCTAATCATGCTGCAACCATGATATCAAGTTTTGACTCTAGTTTACTGTGTAGGAAGTACTATTGGGCTAGAAGATCTGCTAAGCCATTGGCAAACCTTGAAACTCAGTTGTAATAGCAGTTCCAACCATATGCCAAGGACCTTACTTTTGTAGTTGTGTTTCATTTCATACACCTACGGTCTGTCCTCAGCAGAACTCATTCATCTAATTAATAATATAAGAATTGTCATTTCCTTGTACATCTTCTGAGAATATGTATGAATCAGATGTTCCACCCCCTTCAAATCCTTAGTTTAAGGATGGCAAAGCTCCTCAAAACCTTGGTAATACAGACCAATGTTTTAAAACCCCACCCAGAGGTAATTAAAAAAAAAAAAAAGCGCCCAGAGCAGTAACTGCGTTTTCCTCTGGATCAAAGGTCAGTGCTTCAACCGTCCGGATCAATGAGTCAACCTGTAATGTCATAACAAAAAAAGGGCAGCCCAGCGCACGAGGCTCCCACCAATGCGGGGTCTGGAAGGGACAGATGTACACAGCCTTACCCCTGCACATAGAGAGAGGCTGTTTCAAAGATTTGAACCCTGGTCACAATGGAGCAACCCAACATTGCGCCAAGGCCCACCCTCTGTAATGTCATAAAAGCAAAAAATAAAATCACACAAAAATAACATGGGTCAACAGTTCAACTGTTGATGTAGGACCAGCTCAGTTCTAGTCCTTAGAGAATGTTGAATGGTCTTCTTGATCAGAGTTTTATAGCTGTTGATGGTTGTAATAGCTTCTTGAAGGAATAAGAGAGAAAATAGGGAGAGAAAAGAGAGAAAATACCTGGAATCACTCACAGGGTGCCTAGAATCATTCTTTTCTTTTTTATCAATAACAAGAAACTTTATTAAAGATATGAAATGTGAAGCTTAGGTACAAAGGGGAGGTAAAAAGACTTAACTCCCCACCAAAGAATAAAAGGAAAAATAAAAACATTATACCAAAAAGTCGAAACCCTATCCACCCCTTGCTTTGCCTAGAATCATTCTGGGGCATGGGAATCACTCACCATAGCAAGCATAAGTTGAAGGAAACTCAATAAACTTCATTGCCTTTGTGTAAAACGTCCATACATATTTATAGACTCTAAACTCAGAATAATCATAGGAGTCAAACTGTTAGACTCAATAATCCTAGGAGTCAAACTATTAGATTCAATAATCCTAGTAGGACTCAAACTATAATCCTACTTGTGCAATGACTCTGAAATTTTAAACATAAACAAACTATAACTAGACAAAACAAACCCAACATTGGACCCCACAGAAAATTGCAAAATGACAAAAATACCCCCTACTGTCCAAAAATACATAAATACATAAAATTTCATAAGTTTCCAATTTTGACTCTTCAGCTCCGGCATCAACTGTTGAGAGCTGACAGATCATTGAAAAAGCCAACGATTTTTTGAAATATGGCAGGTTAGAGGTTGGCCCAATCTGGAATTGTGATTGGGTCACAGTGTCATTGGTTTGACCACCAAGGTAAATGACAAGTTGAAAACACTGATACAATCCAAGGAAGAGAGAGAGAGAGAGATTTCCCCAGATCCAACAAGAATATTGAGATTTACCAGTCAAAATGTATCTCTACATCAAGATACAAAATCTAATCCCCAAGGAGGTTGTGAATCCTCTCTTTTCTTTACTTCTTCATTATCTTAATGCTCAAATACTAAATAATGCTGAATGGATATATCAAATGACAATTATAATTTAGGTTAGAAATGGTCTCCGGAGTCTATTTAAGAGGACTATAATACCATGGTTAACATTGTATTATCCAACACCACTTTGTTCAATAGATGTCGACTGCTAAAAGTTTGACCATGTATGACTTAGATGAATAATTCAACCATGGCCCTTCCAAGTTCATTGATGGGAGCTGCTCTTACTAGGGGCAAAGCTTAGGTTCTTTGGATCATTATGATTTTTGCAACCATCCCAAAGTGGAGAAGTAGGGATCTACTACAACCTTTAATTCACCTTCAAAAGCCAACCTCCAACAGGTTGGTCATCCTTAAAGCTGCATGATCCTAGTAAAAGATGTCCAACAAGAAAGTCCAAATCTCACCAGCCAAAACTACAAGGAAACAAGATAGAACAGGTTTTTGAACCTAAACAACCAAGTGTATTATATGCACCTACTTTTAGGAATATATTGCTCCTATGGAACTCTAAAAAGCTCAGAAACCTGATCTAGCCTTAGGTTGTCCGCCCAAAAACTTTACCAATTTAGATGGCATTTTGTAATGCTCCAATGAAACATTTCTAGTGTTCCAGGAGCAACCATGGAACAACGGATATATTCTTTTGGAATATCACTGAACACCACCTTATCTACGAGTTTGATGCTATGACTCTGATGGTTGCCAATTATAATCATTTATGCCCTTGGATAGCTATAATATGCATTTGAGCGATTATGAAGCTTATCCAGAGGTACGGATCATGTTTTCTGCATATGGAGAGAATCAAACTGCCCAAATGATCTTTTGTGGTAATCTTGGGAGGTGGACACCAAAAGTAATACTTGATATATTGAATCAACATAGGAAATTCATTCATACAAAAGCTCTTTGGGTATTATTTGAAATCAGATTGTTTCATTTTAGTCTTGGGTACAAATTTTACCTACACTATTTCACATGAAATTGATTTATTTCTTTGAAATCCTAATAACCAGGAATAGCTCCACTTTAGATGGTTAACTTTTTTCAGTATGAAGATGAAACTTTTCTCAAAAAACAAAAACAAAAAAATGATGCAGCCAGTACAGTTGTGTACCTGATCAATCTTCTTCCTACTCAAGTTCTTGAAGATATTTCTCATTTTCTCCCTTCCAAAAATTGCTTGGTCCTTCTCCTAATCTTTCTCGTCTTCACGTTTTGGATGTCTTTGTTTTGTTCATGTACCTCTACATGAACATATTAAGCTCTCAGCTCTATCTGCCTTATGTGTTTTCATGGTATATCATAAAGGCTTTCTTTGCTTTGATCCTTTTTTGTCACATTTGTATCTCTTGGCATGTTGTCTTCCTCGAATATGTTTCTTTATTTGCTAGTATTACTTGATTGTTTGCTTCTTTTGTTTCTGTTTTGCGGAGTTTTGATCCACAGGACATTGCTAAATCCCCTGACAAGAGAGATTTTCAGGTCTTTCGAGATAGATTGCTGACTATAGCTCTTGCAACTACCCCCCGACCTCCAAAACTTGATCAACAGCTTTCTTCACCCACTATAAGTGAAAAGTGATACTCCTAGTGTGTCTTCTATCCTTTATGTTCTACTTGTGTTTCTCGCCCTCCTAACCACCATGGTTTTTATGCAAACCAAAGCTCCTTGTCTGTTGTTTTATCCACCACAGATATCCTTATTCTTACCAATAGGCCATTAGTAATCTCCATTGGGAAATATAGGTGTAATGAAAGGAATATCTTCGAAATATTGAAAAAAATAATGAAAATTTTAAAATAAATTAACAAAATAGACAAAAAATTGAAAATTGTATTGTATTGTTAACTCTCCCTTGACAAGGGATCCAGATTCCAGAATTCAGGTACAGCTCTCTCATTTACTTCCAGCACCTACTTTGCTTGTATTGTATTGTATTGTATTGTATTGTATTGTATTGTATTGTATTGTATTGTATTGTATTGTATTGTATTGTATTGTATTAACAAAATATATCGGGCCAAGCCGGACTGCAGATCATATCGAGCCAGACCAAATCGTGCTGGACCGCGGACAGCACGGCCTGATTTACAGCTCTTTTGGGAAAGAAGTTATGGATGCAAAAATTCAAGCACTAAATGAGAATGACACTTAGGATTTGGTGCCTGCTCCTCCAAATGCATCTATTATTGTGAGTTGTTAACAATAATACTATAAAGCAATGTTTTGAAACGCAAAGGCATGGCATGGCATTTCACTACTTGAAGGTGTAAGGTGTAGGGGCGTTCAAATCGGTTGATAAACCGAAAGCCGAACCAAACCAAATCAA